ACTACCATTTGTACCATATGATGTCATCAATTAAATTGACCTTTTTGTAAATACACTCAGTTCCAAAAAAAGTGACGCACTTGATATTATTTGACCTATCTTCTTAAAAAAAAAATAGTAGACCTATTTTTATTTTTTTTTATTTGTTGGTAGGTAATGCATTTGTCTTTGAAAAAAAATAAAGAGGTGAAAATTTTTTCAAAATCTCCTCGATGGTGGTGGAATAACTGGAACCATGATTTATTCTTAATTTTTGACTCACCCTGTGTTAATTGAGTAATGACATAGAAAGTGCTTACACCCTATACGAAGGAGGCTTCTTTTGGGAACATTTTGTTTTTTTATTCATTGATTTATCTCTAAAATTTTCCGAATTACAGCTTTTTTTGCTGAATCCTTGCAGATTACCAACTTTCTGAATTTATCAAGAAAAAATTTTCTGATGAAATAAACTGATACCAATAATTTTAAAAAACCTTTTTATTAAACACAAAATTATAAATTGGGATGACTGCTTAATACCGTGTATTGCCTCCTCGAGCAACTCTAAGAACTTTTAAACTACGAGGCATACTGGAAATTAAGTTGCTTATCGGTTCCATTGGTATACAATCCCATTCTTCCACTAAGCCATCTGCCATTTCTGCGAGACTTTCCGGAGACCCACAAATGTTCTATAGGATTCATATCGGGGCTTCTCGCAGGCCATTGTAATGTGGTAATACCAGTAGCTTCTAAGAAGTTTCGCACTATTGCTGTGGTGTGTGGTCGGGCATTATCCTGCATCAATATAAAATTATTGCCCACTAACTCTGCATAAGATAAGACATACTGCTCTAAAATGTCAATGTAAATTTGGGCATTCATCGAGTGCCACACTGGAAAAACATGAAGGGGTGTCTTTCCATTCATTGAAATCCCTCCCCACACCATAACGGACCCACCATTAAAACTTTCGCATTCTGTTATTGAATTTTGATTAAACCGTTCACCAGTTCTTCTCCACACTCTCTTTCTTTCATCCACCATGTTAAGGCAAAACCTTGACTCATCCGTAAACAAGACATTCGACCATTCAGGAATATTCCACTGTCCATAATTTTCAACAAAATTTCTTCTAGCAGCACGATGTTCGGGCAATAATTTGGGACCTTTTGCAGGTCTCCTAGCTTTCAAATTAACTTCTTTTAGACTTCTCCATACCGTCTGCCTACTTACTGCAACATCACGAATTTGGCGAAGATCTTGCTGAACATTTACCGCAGTATTTGATCGATTCCGTAAAATCCGCAATCTCAAAAAGCGATCATCTCTTGGAGAAGTTTTTCGGGGGCTACCAGAACATACCCTCCGAGCGGTGCTTCCTGTTCGTTCGTACTTGCGGATTGCTCCACGAGCAGTTGCTTCATGAACTCCCACTGCACGAGCGGCGTAACGTTTACTACGCCCATCGTTTACTAACGCAACTAATCTTGCTACTTGTTCAGGATACATTTGAGGCATTTTATGTAATTTTAGTCAATAAAACAAGACACTTAATTAATGACACAACGACAAATGGTCAAATATAGAGGCATACAACAAATTAGTTGCTATGGCAACGGCATTTGTTTTTTTAAAGACAATGTGATCCTACCAGAGTACAACCCAATCAATTTTGAGTACTCTGATCCTTCAATAAATTTTATTAGTGGTGTAAGTGTAAGGTAACAGCAAAAAAGCTGTAATTCGGAAAATTTTAGAGATGAATCAATGAATAAAAAAACAAAATGCTTGCAAAAGAAGCCTAAGAAGCCTCTTTCGTATAGGGTGTAAGCACTTTGTATACCATTACTCAATTAACACACTGGGTGAGTCAAAAATTAAGAATAAATCATGGTTTGAGTTATTCCACCACCATCAAGGATGCTTTGAAAAAATTTTCACCTCCTTATTTTTTTTAAGACAAGAACTGAGTGTACTTGAGGATGCTTGAAGTAAGTAATTTACAATATCCACAATATCGTTTATCATTTCATAGATTATTAATTACTTGCAGATATAGCACAGATGATATGGCTTGATAGCAGAAAGCGCTTCATGATTTGATAATAAAATAATTACACAAATTTTTTTTTCATTTCATTGATCAGCCTGTACAAACCTTCACATCAGTACTATAAAAAGTTTACAGTGTTGTTTGTTTTTTGGTTGAATGAAGATTAATGAATTTTGCTGAAATAACTGATTATTTTAGTATCAAGATACCTAGTAACAAACCATGGACTGATTCAATTTGCATTTGATTTGAGTTGTAGTTTTGTCAAGTTGAAATGACAGTAAAATAGACAAGTAATTCAGAGTTTGTTTCATGGTATTTATTTAATACTAGTGGCTTTGTTATGATTTTTGTTGAATAATAATTAACGAATAATTATTATTATCACACTTTTATGAATTTCAAATTTGAAAGTGGTTGGACTAGGCTTATTAGGGTGAGTTAAGAAGTGGTAAAATGTATGTGAGACAAATTCAGGTAACATCATCATCATTTTTATGACTGGATGTAACATCCTATGTTTTTTTCAACAAGAAAACTGTGGCAAGATAATAATTTTTTTAGTGAACATATTCAGTTTATTGCATGTTTTCTCACATCTTCCATTGTTCTGATATCATTTTGGAACTGGGAACAGAATAATAAACGATAAACTACAATCACCAGCAATAAAAAGGCCAGCCAGAGAAAAATTCAAGAAAATTAATCACCCTGTAACTTTCTTTATTCATCTCTCATGTTGGTGAAAGTTGGATCAAATAGTATATTTGTTTTGGGTATTTTAGCAGGAAGTTTGGTTCCCAAGAAAAACTGATGACTTGATAATTACACAGGGAAAAACAAAAGTTACTCTTGCACCCTTAACTTCTTACTGTTCTGTGGCTAAAGTGAGTGGTTAAACTCATCTTCATTATGTTTTAGATTGAAATGTTATCCCTTATAAAAACAATGAATTTTGATTCACCTCAATATCTTCTTTTCAAGAGATTAGATATTTTCAATGCAGTAGGTCAGCTGAAACCCAAACTATCCTATGGTCCTGAGGGTGTACCAGGTATAAGTTTGAAAAGTTATGTGTACACTTCAACAAGATGTATTTGTATACTGTTCAGTATTGGAAAAGTACACAACTAGTGATAAAGAAAATATTTCAAGTTGATAGGGTGTACACTGATTTCATGAAAGCTTTTGATAGAGTTGAACACACATGAATAATGCACTTGGAATTGGTAGTCATGATCTAGAATGGATAGCTTCCTGATTGAAAGAATTCAATGTGTTAGAATTAATAATTTCATTTGAAATGCTATCAAGGTTTTTTCTAGTGTCCCTTCCCATTGTGGTCCAATTCTGTTTAGCCTGTTTGTCAATGATATGTATGAAGTTTTACAAAATTCAAAATATTCAGTGTTTGCAGAGGATGTAAAAATTGGTCTGATCTGAATGCTATGTATCTGAATGTTAACAAGTGTTTCTGCATAACACTTTCTAGATACAACTCTCCACTAACATTTGATTATAAAATAAAAGTCAATCCTTGTGTGAAGAAGCTGCAATCAAAGTCTTTGGCATTTTGATTGATAGTAAGTTGACATATAAACAACATATTTTGAAAGTAACTACTATTGGCTATAGAAATCTTAGAGATTTGTTATGAAAAACACAAAGGATATGTCACTTAATAGTTTAAAAATATTATACTGTGCACTTGTTAAGACAGGCTTAGAATATGCTCCTGTGATATAGTGTCCTTACTACAGTGGTGATATAGGGACAATTGAAGGAATACAGAGAAAATTCCTCAGGAATTATGCATTCAGATTGGGAATAAATTGGAATAATGATTATGACAACATCCAAAATAGCACATATTTGGAAACTAAAAAAAACCTAGGTTCAACACAGACTTGGGCTTTTTATATAAATTGTTGAATGGTATCATTGATTGCCCAGAACTTGTGTCCGAAATTCAGCTAAATACAAACAGTAGGACTAGTAGCTAGATTTTAGATTGTAACAATAATTCAGAAATTATAGAGCATCTTTGAAATTAATTCATGAGGCATATTTGTCATCATCTGGCCTTGCCTTGCCCTTCATGAAGAATCTTTTATGCTAGTGAGTGCTTAAAAACGGGGTGGGAGTGAGCAATATTGATTTTTATAAGTTTTTTCAAGTTGTTAATAAGTTCTAGTAGATTGTGAATCATTGTTAATAAAAATTAAAAAACCCATACTTTCTCAAAACACTTGTAACTTCTCTCAAAAAGAAGATATTGACATGGATTATTGAAAACTACTGTGTTGAGAAAGGATCACATTACAATCTGAAACATGATGAAGCTGAGTTTAACCACTCACTTTTGCCACAGGGTGTTAAGAAGTTAAGGGCAGAAGACCAACATTTGTTTTTTCCTGTATCATGATCAAGCCATCAGATTTTCTTGGGAACTTTACTTCAGGCTAATTTTTTCAAACATATATCTAAGATTTTAGGATTGAAAAAGTTACTGGGCTATCAATTTGGGTATATTTTTCTGTGATCAGTTCTTTTTTTCAAGTTAGTGTAGAATACTGAGGGTTGCCTTGGGGAAGCAGACCATCTTGCTGGAGCAAAATGTCTTGCGGGAGCAAACTATGGCTTGCTTTACACAACATTTTAGAGGCAAACTAGCTGACATTCTAGAGTTGCAATTATTGCTATTGGTGTGCTTAAAGCATGATGACCATAAAACTTTTTGATCATGGAACTCACCTTGAGTGTTAGATTGATAATTGAATGAAGAAGTGATTAGAAGAAAGTATGTTTGTAACATTGATGCAAAAGAGTTGAATATATTATACTCATTACACCAGATTAGAGTATCATTGAATTATTGAATACCAACCTCTGATCACCCCCAAACAACTGTGTATAGTAAATAAGAGTAAGTAAATAAGACATCAACATCAGTTCTGTTCACCTGAGTATCTTTTTCTGTTGCAATATGATTGATGGGGGCAACAAATCTATCCAGTACTCCATGTCTATCTCCCTCTGGTAACTTGAGGATTTGGATGTCATTACTGCCTGTAGCTACGTACAAGTTATCTCCTTTTTGTTGAACTGATAGGGCCCATTCCCCAATGCAGTTGTGGATGGGATCTTCTCCTTCTTCTGTAGACCATATTCTTATATCACCATCAGATCCACAAGTTATAAAACGACTGAAATAAATGAAGACAAGATTTTACAATATTGAAACGAACTGATCCAGTTTCCTTGGAAAATTACCATCCATCTTCAGAATAACAAACATCTGTGTGCCCTTCTTCATGAGCATATCGTAGAGTTTCGTGAATCATAGTTATCAGAACTGAATGGAATGGTTCACACAGCTAGGCAAATAAATAGCTAGGAGTATTCACTGTATCATCAAAAAATAATAACTCAAATGCAAAGAAAATACAATACAAACAAAAAATCAGGAAAGAGTGAAAATTCTTAATATGAATTTGACATGTGAACTGATGTTAAATGAGAAAGTCCGCGAAAACACAAAACACAAAACATGTAACGTAACATAGCACAGAACATAAGCAAGTTATGGACCTTGGAACATGAAACACATTTTTATGACGGCTTTGACAATGATGCTTTGACATGTCTATTCGGAAATGATTTGGAACTAGAACCCACTTACGACGTGACCGAGGATCAAGTTCTATTAACTAGTATAAGAGTTAAATAGCCTTGACCGAGGATAGCATCATAAGATAATGAAACGTCATTTTTCCTCGAAACCAAGCATACCAACTAGGTCAACTTTATGATGACGTCACGGTAACTTTATCATGACGTCACTCACGGTTTACTCGTTGAGCTTGACAGAGGTCAGTTTGAATCAGCTATTTTTGTTCATTGTTTGGTTTGAGTAGTAATACTGATATTTTGTATGAGAAACTCATCATCTGTAACAAAAATATAGCATAGATAGGAACTAACTACTTACCTACTTCAAATTCAAGAAAATTAGAACTATTCGCTACGTACATATCTACAGTGAATCAAATATCTATATTTATCAATAATATGATAAGATCACCCACCGAAAAATATTTCGAATGAATTCATTATCAACTTATCAAGAAGTAACTAGCCAAACCAGGCTAAATTTATTATGCCGTCACGGTAATCTCATTATGACATCTCGGTTAACTTGTGGAGCAGATATGTCAGTTTGTATCAGCTGTTTTTGTTTTTATTGTTTGGTTTTATTAGTGATACTCATATTTTGAAAAAGAAACTCATCATCTGTAACAAAAATATATCATATAGATAGGAACTTACAGAGTTCGAAGGACCACTTCTATATATTTTTCAAAATCTCGCCTTTGCAAAGTCGAGATCTTGATCTTACAAAGCCGAGAACTCGAGATCTTCAGTTTGAAAAGTCGAGAACTCGAGATCTCGAGTTTGCAAAGTCGAGAACTCGAGATTATGCTTCTGCGGCTGACGTTACAGCCTCCAAGGTCATTAACTTGGAGGATAAACAATCCATGCCCATGTTTGTATCGTATATTAGTATTAGTATATTTTAATGAAGATATTGTTCTTCAAATATTGTGGATTGTGGTAGCAATAGGTTCAGATACAATGTGGAATTTATAGGATACCCTCAGTGCTTGATATTCACAAGAAAGAAAACAGTTTACCTTTACCCAAGGAAAGAAGAACTGCCTAGAGCACACGACATGAAGAATGGACGAATATGTTTTTGGTGACAATAATGTTCACTCTATATTTGGCTTCGTGTTTTTTAATATATGTCGAAGTATTGTCAATAAATAACTGTTACTGAAAATAAATATACGAAATATCCACATATAGGTGACCCCGAAGTGATACTTGCAAATTTTCGAAGCATTTGTTCCAGAATCTATCATTTTTCTGCATTGTTAGTCAACCAGAATTCCAAAGTGGTCAAAAAAGTCCGCTTCCAGAATGGCAGTATCGACATCAGCTATAAAGCACTCGGTGCGGCAATTCAACAATTTCAAGACAATATATGGATGCCCCTAGGATCTCTCTAAAAATTGGTCCTTCTGCTATAATTTGGTGAAAAATATTGTTTGTTTCAACTATTTTGTTCAGAGAATTCCTAGTGAGGTTGTTCGGTAGAATTGCCATTTCTCAAGGTTTTTTCAAACGTCGGGGTCACCAATGTTGATATTTCATATATTTATTATCAGTTATTTTTATTGACAATACTTTGAAATATCTCATTATATAAACTCATGTCATATTCCAATATTCGACTTCGAATAGACAAATATGAGTTCAAAGCCCCTATACCTGCCTTAGGGTAGTTTACCAACTCTGTCGAGAATGCTTGAAACAATTATATAGTTTTATATCATAATATATATGGTCCAAGAGCCGGCTGCAAATTTCGACCGTCATCTGATAACAAAATGATATATATCCCAATGGCATGTGAAAACATTATATTTTATTGAACGGTGCCTGTGCCAATCACTATTCTGAGCAAAAGGATAGAAGAATTGCACTTTCTAGTGCGTATATTCGCATTCAATCTCGCGATTCGATAACGAGATAAGAATTATGCCATCTGATACAAATTTGATGGTAGATCTCAGAGAACATTGTGAGAACCAAGGGAAATAAGGTAGGAATTGGTGTTCTTCTTGAATTTCTGGAGGTTATATGCCTCAGGGAACACCTCCCTTGGCAATGTGTTCCAGAGCCTCGCTGTTTGTTGGATGAACGAGTCTTTGGCAAGAGATGCTCTGCAGGTCTCCAAAGTGACCATGAAGTGGTGCGAAGCCTCAACTCGACGGGTTAATCTCGCGGGGACTGCCAATGGAGGAATAATTGTTGATATTTCAAAAGAGCATCTTCCATGAAAATATCTATGAAATAGAGCCAGATCGCCAACTTGTCTACGGTGTTCCAGAGAAGTGAGTGAGTTTGTGAGCGAGACATCACTCACGAGACGAATTGCCCTCTTTTTAGACAGAATCCAACAGTTTCAGTGTATGTTTGGGTGCTGCAATCCAAATATGGTAACAGTATTCCAGGGCAGGTCGGATCTGTGCGTTATAAATCATAAGCAGCTGACTGGGAGTGAAATAGCTCCTGGCTCGAAACAGAAAACCAAGTTTTTGGGATGCGCTTTCAGCAATTGATCTAACGTGATTTTCCCAAGAAAGGTCATTGTTGATAGTAATACCAAGCATCGAAATGGATGTCTTCAAAGGTATGTATGGAGGTCTTTTTTACTTTTTAATACAAATGGAGTTCATATGTTTCTACGAAACTAGGATGCATGTATTGTAGAAACACCTATTGTAAAAACCGATAATTTGCGCTACATTGAAAGCATAGTATTGTAAAAAAGCAATTTTCGCAATACATAAAATTTCATGACAGTAGATGAGATACATTTTTGCAATAACTTAAGTCTTTATCTATTGTTTTTACAATACATGAGGCTCAATGTATTGCAAAAATGAGTTTTTGCAACAGATTGATTATTAGGTTCTGATCTAGTTTCGATTATCTTCTTCTTCTTCTCTACTTATCTTTAATCATAGAATGCATAATATTTTTGAGTTCTGTGCTCTTGATGTCCAGATGTCAAAAGTCAAAAACCACTGAACGAACCCCCTATATTCATATGTATACTGAGAAAGATTTATCAAAATTCCGAGAAAAGATAAAATAAAAAAGGTATTTGTTCTAGGAATGTTCTAGGGTAGGCAATTGTAAATGAATGTGATGGTAAACTCACCTCACCATTTTGGCAGTTTTATATAATAACTAAAGGGCATATGGGTATAAAGAGAAAACTAACAGTTTTAATCTCACCTTTAATGAAAGGCGAATAAAAATAATCTCAATAAGTACCCGTTTCTCGTTCAACGGCTTCAACGTAGATCGTAGATGAAGTAACAAGTCAGTGATTATTTTAAACTTTGGACTCTCTGCTATAGAGGTCCACAGGCCAAAAAAAGAAGAAGTCATTATCTTTTTCTTCTCGAGCTTTATTTATCTTTTTAGTTTTTACCATGTTTTTACCTACAATACATGAGGCTTAATGTTTTGCAAAAATGGGTTATTGCATTTGATGAATTTTGCTATATCAATTATATCAATACATGAATTGTTCAAATGTTTGTTTTCACAATACATTGCTAGTTATTTAATGTATGGTATAAATCAGTTTTTGCAATACATTGAAATCAATGCGAAACACCTGCCTCGAGAGGAAAATCTCCCGATATACTTTCGTTGATCTCAACCCGGATTCTCCTGTTAGTGATGTATGCATCTATGATCTTAATGGTATGAATCGGCACTTTAGCCTTTTGCAGTTTGGACATTAGACCCTCGTGCCAGACGGTGTCAAATGCCTTTTCAACATCCATCATAACCATGACCGTGTTCTTATCATTGTTGAAAGCTTCCTTTATGTCATGAACAATTCAGGCCACCTGAGACACAGTGCTGTGCTCCTTGCGGAACCCGAACTGTTCATTAGGAATCAGGTTAAGTTCTTCCACATGGTGCTCTATCAGCCGTAAGAGGACTCTATCCACGACCTTGGCCACCGTGCTAAGCAGCGATATGGGGTTGAAGCCATCTGAGTAGTGCTGGTATCTAATGATGGCATTGGTGAGATAGTGCAGCAGTTGCACTATAGCCTTGCGAGACAGGTTCTTGAGGAGGAACACGTCCAACCCGTCAAGTCCTGGCGGCCATGGAAGCCAGGTGGACAGCTCACTGAGCCATCAAGCTACTCGAACTCGAAAGTTTTGTCTATGAAGAAAGGGGAAATATCGTGGGTTGGGTTGTTCATCACAATTTTTTGAAAAACATTCTCTTCAGAAAATGATCTATGTTGAGTAAGGTTATAAGTAGGCTCCTTTTCCATGCAGAAATAATATTCTTCTTCCTCATAATACCTCATAGCCCTCTGATAACCTTAAGATTTACCGCAGCACAGCAGCAAGCTACTATTCGAACGACTGGCGAGAGACATTTATTTAAACCGTGCGATAAGGTTTGACAAGAATTATATTTATAATGCCAAATGTCAGGTTTTCCAGTCTATAAATCATTCCAGAATTACGTCATTTGACAGGTTGCTGAGGGGCAAACATTGTGTCTTTGAACGATAGAGAAGGACCAGCTGCGGAGTTCAGCAAATATCTTTATTCTTCATAAAGGTTTTCATTACAAAGATAGACATTATTCTGACATAATGTTTTATTGATTATTGAAACAAGTCAAAAAATATCATAGTTATGACAACACACAAGAAGAGGTATCTTTCTAAATA